CTAAACTTGTGCCCATCTGAACAAATTGCTATTGCTATTGCTATTATGGAAATCCTGACCACTCCCTCATGTCAAGCTAGTTTTTGTGGCCTGCTATTGAATAAATTTCTTCAGTAAAGTTCAATCTAAACAAAACTTTTATTTAAAATAATCTCATCCTTGCTTTGTATAGGATGTGATTTTAACAGGGCAGAACAATAATTCAGTCATTTAACCTAAGTAAATCCCCTATTTGCATTTTGGTTAGATAATTTTCAGTAAGTAAAGACTCTTGTCTTTAATATTCTTAAAGAACTCCAAGTATGCCTATTAAAATGGAGTGTTGACAACTGAGAATAGTTGGTATGGTAGAACATCTGGAGTCTGGGACTAGGAACAAACCAGCTTTCTAGGACTACTTCTGGTTTAGCTCCTTAAGAGTTGTATGACATTGGACATGTTGCTTGACTTTGAGACTCTGTTTTTACTTGTGACCCATGGACAATAACCCACCTTAATTTACCTGGTAGGGTTTAGAGATAAAAAAGTAAAAGTCCATTTGTTTTTTTTTTAAAGTAAAGTCATAGAAGATATGAGTTGTATTTTTAAATTCAATCAGTGATTAGCTTTAGGGCAAAATGACTTGGCTGAAAAACATAATTTGTCACTTTGTCATGAATTCATTCTGATGTACAGTAGTATTATATGGCCAGCCATTATCAATTCAGCTTTTAACTGGCAGGTTTAATCTGCTAACTTGCTGATGGTTGATGGATATTTGTTACCAATCAGATCACTCTGAACTCAATGATAAACTGATTTAAAGACAACCCCAAATATCTTTTAAAAAATATTTTTTAATAATTTTTTTTTTTTTTTTTTTTAGTTTTTGATGGACTTTTATTTCATTTTTATGTGGTGCTGCTTAGAATTGAACCCAGTGCCCCACATGTGCTAGGCAAGTGCTCTATCACTGAGCTACAATCCCAGCCCCCAAATGTCTTTTTAAGGGTCATAATTTTTAAATGAAGATAAGATCAGCATTCTTTTTGGTATTCAGTTAGTAGACCTCATTTTCAAGATTCCAGTTGAAAAAAATTGATCTTTTTTGATCATTTAACACATTATAATATTTATGGTAGACTGCTTTAAGAGTTCTGTGGGATTGCAAAAGAAAAAGACCCAGAAAAATTTTTGCTTTAATCTACAAGATTTTGAACTGATGGTTGATTTTGTAATATTGTTCTAATAATAAATTAGGAACTTTCTTTTATACCCCTTCACCAGTCAAACCAAAATTAAAGGCATCTCCTGTACTGCCAGTGTTATATTTGTACCACAGTACTTGTCACATTACTCATCTCTCTAGACAGTAACCTTACTAGGCTCATCCTTCCCTCCCTCCTCTCTTTCATTCTTTGTGTGCATGTGTGTGTGGAAGACACACGCAACACACACACACACTGAGAGAGAGAGAAAGAGACACTATGGATTGAACCCAGGAGCACTTCACCACTGAACTACACTCTCAGCCCTTTTTAGTGTTTGCTTTTGAGGCAAGGTCTCACTAAGTTGCCCAGGCTGGCCTGAGACTTGCCATCCTCCTGTCTCAGTCTCCTAAGTTGTTGGGACTACAGGATTGTGCCACTGTGCTCAGATAGGCTGTGGGTTTTTTTAGGTTAATGGAGGGGAAGGATAGGTAAAAGAGGGAACAATGTGATGGTGAAAGGATCTTAAAGGCAGAAACTAACAAATAAGAAAGAACAAAAGAGGAGGAATGAAAACGTGTGAAACAGGATTTTTTTCATTGAATTTACTTGTCTTGTGTATATTCTATTTTAATTATTAAGTGTCATGGCCATTTTATGTTATGACATGAACAGAATCCTATAGGGCACATTGGACTCATCAGTTATTTTTGATGATAGAGTTTCAAAGCCCGCTGTAATCTATTTTTTGTCATTAAAACTTAAATACGCTGGGTACGGTGGTACATATCTGTAATCTCAATGGCTTGGAAGGCTGAGGCAGAAGGATTGAGGCAGAAGCCTCAGCAACTTTTAGTGAGACTCTGAGAAATTCAGTGAGACCCTGTCTCAAAATTTAAAAAAGGACTGGGGATGTGGCTCAGTGATTAAGCATTCCTGGGTTCAATCCCCAGAAACACCCACCTCCCCTCAAAAAAAAAAAAAAAAAATACTTCTGAGAGATTTCCTAATTACTGCACAGTGTCTAGAAGCTATGGTTTTAGCCTTTGAATTTTAAAAGTTAAATACATGAATTGTGAAGACATAAAGACATTAAATTAGGGGAGAGGAAAAAGGAGTAAAACAAGAAAGATTTTTAAAAGTTAGCGGCAATATTTGCATTCTACTTGTTTACCAGACTATTGAAGCTAACTCATTCTCAGATCAGAGTCTTACCTTTAAAATGCTGAGATAGGCATTAATTTATTTTTATCAGTTTTGAAGTTTATTTGGTGAGCATTTGTTTTTAGGCATGGCTTAAATTTTTTCTCCTATGTATAAAAATTGGTTTCTTGACCAAAAGCAGGTAAATATTTACCTTTTTTTGTAGCTATGGCAATAACATGGTAATTTTATTTTTTTATTTTTATTTTTTGCACTATGTACCATAGGCTAAAGAAGTGTATATTTTCTTATTTACATAGCTTTTAGGCAAAGCAAATACCATTTACTGGTGTGATAAATATGTAGAAAGCTTATTCTGCAGTTTTTTGAGGTGATAAACTACCACTATCTATAAAGTTTATCTGCCAACCCATTATCTGTAAATAGTTAGTTTGTTATTATCCACTGATTTTTGGACAGCTAATTCGATTTTTTCTTTAAATATTAGGTCATCAGTATTATTGGACTCTGTTTAATGGCATTAGATCAGTGCAAGACTCAGAAAACTTGTTTGTACCCTTTAAACATAATAACAGTTTAATGAGAGAACCAGTATAGTGTATTGGTAAACAGTTTGGACTCTGAATTCAGAGAAACAGGGGTTTTTAAATTCATCTCTGTTGCAGTAGAACCTTGGGGAAGTTTTCTCACGTCTCTGAGGTTGTTTCTTCCATCTGTGAAATGGAGATATAGCTACTCATTTCTTCAACAAATTATAAGTGTATTGAGTTTGTACTAGTAACTGTGCTGTATTTTGTATAATATGTAATAATATCTCCACCATAAGATCATTGGAGGATTAAAGTACACAGTATCTAGAACATAAAGGATCAATTAATTTTAGTTATTAAAATATTTCAGATGTACTTTTTAAAGTTGTCTAAGAGCAAAAATTGTTTCAGGGTTTATTTTCAGGCACATCATTAAATTTTTAAAATGATAATCCTATGTGTTAGTTTTTTTAAAAATATGGGGTGAAATTCATATATTTTGTGGTTAACTTTAAAAATGAAAGTTGATGTAGCAGTTTTGAAAACAAGTATTAATGATATTAATGCCAATATTAATATTTCTTTTAGGAGAAATTATATATGTGTTTGTGTGTACAAAGTATTATGTTTCTTGAACTAATTCTATTTCCCATCATCTTTTAAAATAGAAATATATGGACCTCTAATAGTATTCTGCCAAGTAATTCTATTATGAAATAATTAAATATGTATGGTCTTATAAAGTATATGACTAGTATAGACTCTTTAAGTAATCTAGAAAATATTTAGACATCTGGAAAAGCTTTTTTCAACAGTACAAAAACATAATCTTGACAGTATTTATGCTGCGTGACAGTTTTTTTTTAAAAAACAAAAATAATGCACATAATTTTCCTATAAAACTTGCCATGATTTCTGTGATTAGACTGAAGTTGACTGTATTATATTCTAAATTTAAGAAAGTGAATATTCTCTTTTCTTTCTCATATTCTCTCCCACTTTCTTGAAATACAGGTAAAGTTCTTTCCCAAAATATTTTATTCATAGACATATTGTACATGTATTTCCCCCAGACATTTTAATAACTCATGATAGGTGGGGAGGGGATTGGTCTACCTTAGATCTGTTATCCTTTAATAGTACTATAATATTTATGATAATCATTGATGTTCAGAATAATGAAATATGTTTTCAGTTTCTTAGCCAAGAAGAGAAAACATTAAATAGGTTCATTATAATTTGCTTACTTGAAAGCTTTTCAATGGATAAGAAAATTTTCTTTCCTATTTAAAAGTTTGCTTAATCTTATTATCTTATTATAATGCTAGTTTAGTTAATTAAGATTTTAATGTATTTATGGCAGTTTTTTTCTGATAATCTTTATGATTGTGGAATTTGATTTGTTATATGCAAACCTACATTACTTTAGAAATAATAACTATAGCTGCCATCAATTCAGTACTTACTCTGTCAGGTAGTGTTCTACAGGTATTAAATGTACTGAGGCAATTGATCCTCAAAACAGCCCTCTCTCTCATATGAGGAAACTGAATTACAGATACACAGATAACACTAAGGTTACATAGCTATAATTACTGCCAGGATTCAAGAACTTGTGCACTTGATCTTAAGTTACTGTCCAATTCTTAATTGCTGTCTCTCCCAGATTTCACAATCAGGTTCACTATTTGAATAATAAAGATATAGCTGTCACATTAAAAAGAGTAACTAACCAAAGTGTTGACTCTTAATTGGACATTTACTGAACTCTGTAATTAGTATTGGGTGATTGTACTGGACTACAATCCAGTACAATAATACTAGGTATTATTACCTTAACAGATGGGTAGTTATTAGCACACTAGAGTTGGTTATCAGGATTTCAAAACCTGAGATTAAAAAAAAAATTTTGTGTATTAATGAATCATTTTTATTTTGTTTTCAGTATGATTTCTAGTGCTACTTATTTGAGTTTGGTAAATCAGTGTTTATTATGACTGTAGTCTTAAAAATATATCAGCTATAGTCTGGTTTAATGATTATTTAATAGCATACTTAGTTAAAATCCATTAGAATGTTCACACAAGGATTAATTTTGTATTTTTTCCTCCCCTTTTAGTAAAATAAAACAGGGTCTGTTACCTAGCTTGGAAGATTTGCTGTTTTATACAATTGCGGAAGGACAAGAAAAAATACCTGTTCATAAATTTATTACAGTAAGTTTTTACATTTTTCTATCTTAACTTTTTAAGAAGTTAGTAGTACTAAATTAGTAATAGAGTAATACTGAAATGTAGTCTTAAAGGTCATATGACATATAGATTCTCACTGACACTGTTTCTCTTATTATGTTTTCGAATTTTTATCATGCTTGTTTCAAGGTAATCAGTGAAAGAAAAAGAAAGAAACTATGAGAAACTTGTCCAGAAAGTGGGTAATAGTGACACAAATGCCACACACATTTTCAAGTCTTGAATAGAAGTTTTTATGTACAGGAATAAAAACTTGTAGTTGGAATAAGCATATACATTATTTGCACTATATATTTACAAGCTCTTGTTTTTTTAAAAACAGGCACTCAAATCTACAGGATTGCGAACGTCTGATCCCAGGTTGAAAGAGTGTATGGATATGTTAAGATTAACTCTTCAAACAACATCAGATGGTGTCATGCTAGACAAAGATCTTTTTAAAAAGTAAAAATTTCTGCCAAACCTTTAATGGTGATTTGCTATGCTATATGGTGATTTTGCTTTTAAAACAAAATTGCATCTCTGAAGTCCAGTGCTGCTTCCTGTGTAACTGAAAAAGGGGGTTTAGAACATCATTTGTTTGAAGAACAGTGATGGTATACATTAAGGTTCTATATAATACACTGGGTAAAAAACAAACTTTCTTTAAATCTATTGTAAGAAATTTAGCCATGGATATTTCCAATATATCTTACCTAGAGATTGCATTTAGTTTGAATAGAACACATCCTTTGTCCTGTTGTTGCTTATGTTGATCTCCAGTTCATCTACATGCCTTGCAGGCTTTCTCAGCATAATTTCTAGTTCTTTCCATGAGATGATTTAGATGACATCATAAAATGAGAGGGCTTCAGACAGCCCTGTATTCCTTAGTTGTACATATGTGCATTGTCTGCTTCCCTCCTTTCTTCAGATGTATTAATGCATAGGTTTTTGGCAATTTTCATTTTCCTTGAATCAGTTAAGAGCTAAAGACAGCTTTGGAGCTTAAGATCTTGACTGAGTATTGGAAGTTAAGTCTTGAAAATAATTTGGCATTCTATATTGTATATCTTTATTATTTATCTTGATTTATGTGTTCCTATTAGTTTAATTATTGAAGATATAACGGACAACATGTTTGTAATGGATACTAAAGAGTCAGATAGTATTTTAAACTATTAATAGTTGAGTGGAAGCTAGCATAAAGCTGAAAGTATTTATATAAGATGTAGGTTTTAGTAGAGATGGATCTGAAGAATTTCTGCATCTACTTTGAAAGTTTATTTGGGGAACTGGATGATTTGTCCAAGATAATCTCCTGGGAATATCCTGGAATATTAACTAATCTAAAGGGATAAGTATTTAACTAGGGTTCTCTGAAATGTCCTGACATGCTGGGAAGTGCTGCTGACAGTTTTGGATTCTTTTCTTTTCCCTGGGAGGTTCTTGGTTCTGTTAGCTTAGCTGACCTTTATACACATCGACTTTATATAGGTCCACTTTACAATTGATGTTAGAAATTTTTGAGTCTACAGAAGAAAATTTGTGGAGACAAGAAATTTATTTCTAGATATATTTGTACCTTTGTGTTAAGACATATTATTGTTAGTGTTCATGAGTTGTCTCTGTAAAGTACTCTTGATTAGGGTGCCTTTTAGGAAGTTATTTTGGCTTATTCTGAGCATAGTTATTCAAGAGATATAAGTAGATCTGTGGATATCATGGGAAACTGGCTTTGGAATTTAAAATGGAAGCAGTATTTTACACATTTAATACTGTTTAAAATGTTTTGTGTCTTATAAACATGTTGGTATGCTTAAATATGAAATTTAAAGCAATTTCATATTCTGATTATGAAGCCAGGAAACCACAATCATTTAGTTTTCTATCTGTTATTACATTAGAAGATAATAATTTCCATAATTTAAAGTAATATGGGCAGTTCCCAACTTGGCAGTTGCTTAGTGGCATATATAAGCAAGCCATAGGCATAAGATTTTTTTTTTTTCATTCCTACAATGTAGTGACTGTACCTCTGAATAGTAACCTTTACAGGTCACCTGGAAGGGTGATATTTCCAAAGAAATTCCTTTTCTGTTTTCTATCATAAGTAGTTACCTAGCTAGTGTAGCTAGAAATAAACTATCTCACCGCTCTGTAGTTGGGGAAGAGATGTTAAAACATGGAATTCATTTTCCCAGAGAAATAACATTTATAAAGGTGGGAAAGTTTGGTTGAAGTCAAAAGTGTAGGGACTTTACTTAAAATGCATTGTAGGTTAATATATTTAGTCTTTGTATGTAATCTTTTTTCTTTTTAAACGGGGAAAATGACTTCTAAAATACCTTTTTTAGAATATAATCTATTTGAAAGTTGGAGACTGCCTGTACCCATCTATGTAGTCAATTGTCTTTAATGCTAATAATTCTTAAAACTAATAGAAGTAGAAATTTTTGTGTTGAAAATGAATTCTTTATTTGTTCATGCATTTTTTTAACCTTCTAGATATTGGAATTATTTTTATATATGATAGTAATTATTTGGTCTTTTTGGATTTTGGAAAAAGTGAATGAACAGTTTTTGCATTTTGTATATTTTATAGTTTTCTAAAAAAGTTTATTATTATGTTATTTTACTAAAGAAAAATTTTGTGAGAAGTGTTTTGTAGAACATTGATGCACATTATAGTTGTTAAACATAAATATTTAAGTAAAGCGGGAAATAAAGTGACTATTCCCAGTTCACAGATAAGAAAATTGAATAAAGCAGAGAGAAAGATATCACTTTCTGAAAGGCATAAACAGCTCTTCTTCAGCACTCATCTTACATGACTTCTAATTTTTTGGATAGGTTGATGAAATCTATATTGAAATAACCGACAAGAAAAACCTTAATATTTGGAAACTCATCAGTATACAGTTAGGTACTCTTGTGAGAGATAAAATTTGTTGGTCATATACTAGGGAAGGCTGTTTCTACAGCTTTGCCAGCACCACCTGCTAGAGGAAAAAAACAAAAACCAAAGTAGGTGTCTCTGACTATTAATTATAAATCCTCCTGTTGAAGGTACTGATTAGTTTAAAATTGTAGTAGGTTAATAATTTAAATTTGCTTGATACTTCCCATACTTGCTTATTTATAACTTCTTGAAGTGACACATATATATGATTTGACATGGAGGTAATTTAAGATCAGAAATTATCTTAGTGTTTTTCTCTGAGAAAGTTGTTCTTTGGTATATATATCCTTTGCAGTTTTGATATTTGCAAGTTGAATTTTAGAAACTATATGAAACATTTTAAATATTAAATACTAAAGTTATGGTAATATATCTTAGGTTAACATTTAAAGCTGGAAGGAAACTATCAATTTATATAAGTAGTAAATATTTGTCAACTCTGGATGTCAACAAATATACCCATAGGTTAATAGTAGAATTTATGATTATAATTTTTTTAATGTTTATAATAGGGAGATTCTTGTCAATGAAACAATAGCCTTTTGCATTAAGATTTTATTTTACAGTTATATGTTAATTTTATGTTTGACTAGCTGAATATATATTCTTAGTTTTATTAATAATTAAAATATGAAACTTGGTTTTTAATTTTAATTTGATGTTTCATCTAGAACAGCTTGAATTAAAATATTGAGATTTTAAAATTTCTCAGTTATCAAACTCGAAAAATATTGAGGATTTCTACTTTATTTCTCCATTTATGATTAGGGCATTATTCACCCTCTTGGAATCTCATTTTCTTATCTTGGAAGTGGGGAAATTCTTTACAAAGTGTTGATGTTTTGAGGACTAAACAAGATGACTAGTACTTGCAATTTGGTTGTTTTTTTTACAAAAGGCAATTTTTTCTTTTCCTCAAAGAAGCTGCTATTATCATTACTCATCCCTGAGGAATACAGTTAAATGAATAACTTCTCATATTAATGGTTTGACTTTAATATTTCCTTATAAAGGTTTATCCTGAAGATTTATCACAGTTGGTATTATGGCTTGACATCCACGTATAGCAAGTCTTCCTTTTTCAATTAAGAAATTCTATTATTGAGTTAGTGAGACTTAGAAAACTTAAGAAGAGTATCTTAAGCTCAGAGTAATCTATTTACAAAACTCTTAAGTTTACATTAACATATAGACTTTCCTGCTTAAATCCTTTTTAGATCAAAGCAGAATATTGGTTCAAATAACTAGATTTTATGACCTTCCATCCACATGGTTTACCATGGCTTTAAAAGAGTTTTTAATGGTGAAACATTTTTACTCTACAGTGTAGTACAAATTTTACATTGAGTAGAATAATGTAATTAGCATTTTTTGTGATTTAAATAATATAAAATTGTATGATTTTATGTGAAATTTTATTTAAAATTATACTTTTATAAGAATTTTAACAAATATTTCATTGAAGAATTAATTAATCTGACTAATTCAAATATGTTTTATCTCCAACTCTTAAACTAGAAATAAAAGTTTTTCAAAATGTAATTTGGAAAAAGAATGTTAAAATACAAAATATTTAATTTTTTTTGGTGAAATACTAGGGCTAGTTATACAGGAACTAAGCTATTATGTCTGAAGTTCCTTAATTGAAAAATAAATAGGATCTTATCCATAATATTTTAGAGTCTTATTTCTGTTAACCAGATGTCATACTGAATGTTTATCTATTCTGGTAAAATAAGAAACTTGTTTCAGATGGTCCTTGTACTTAGACCTGTTAGAATGCTCTGTCATGTTGTCTTTGACGCATTTTTTAGTCACATCTAATTTATTTCTAACCTGTTCATCTTACAAGCAACTACATGAAAGACTTCTAGAAGGAAAGAAAACTATGTAGAAAGACTATAATTTGTAGAATTTAGTTGTATAAAATGATGGATTTGTGTCTTCTTAAAATATGGGGTTAATATTCTCCTAATTAATGCTGTTATTACCAAATATTAATAATTGAAAGGCACTCAGTCTATTAATTTTTTTCCTCACATTCTACAGATGTGTTCAGAGCAACATTGTCTTGCTGACACAAGCCTTTAGAAGAAAATTTGTCATTCCTGACTTTATGTCTTTTACCTCACACATCGATGAATTATATGAAAGTGCTAAAAAGCAGTCTGGAGGAAAGGTAATATTTTTGGTGTGGATATTTTCCTAACCCAGTCATTTAATTAATACTTTCAGCTCAATTTGAGGTATAGAGAATAAAATTATAGTTGTCTTTTGCTAATTAAGAAATTTAAGTTAAATCAAGCTGCTGGATTTAATGTTTGTTTGTTTTCAGTTGTAGTTGGACACAATACCTTTATTTTTATTTATTTTTGTGTGGTGCTGAGGGTTGAATCTAGTGCCTCCCTCATGCACTGAGCCACAACCCCAACCCCTTAATGTTTTTAAATATTTAAAATGTTTAACTTTGCTATTCTTGCGAAAAAGGAGCCTAAGTTTAGGAATTCTTTTATTTTCTAATGAGATGCCTTTTAAATTTTTAATTAAGTAAACAAAAACCTTATTGGGAATTTCTGCAGATCTGGTATCTTTGAACATTAAGTAGAATGTTTCTAGTTTTAAAAAATCTTCTAGAAGCCAGGCAAGGTGGCACACACTTGTAATCCCAGGAGGCTGAGGCAGGAGGATCATAAATTCGAGGCCAGCCTTGGCAATTTAGCAAGACCCTGTCTCAAAATAAGATATAAAAGAGAGCTGGGGGGTGGAGCTTAGTGGTAGAGTGCCCCTGGGTTCAATTCCCATCACCACAAAAAAGAAAAAGGAAAAATCCTCTAGAGGCAGCAGGTACAGCTCAGAAACAGAGCATTTGCCTCCCTTGTACAAGGCCCTGGATTGGATCCCCCAGCACTGTTAATAAGTACATTAAAATAAATAAATCCTCTAAATAATAATAGAGGCTATTTTATTTAATTTCCATATTGAAAGGTTTTATTTTGTTTTAGTTTTGGGTAGCTTTTTTTGTAATATAACTTCTTGATAATAATTCAGTGTAATTGCCATTACTTATTTTTGTTTGTTTGATTCCTAATTTGTTAGATAATGAAACTCTACATGCATCCATGATTGTAATTAATATAGGTAGTTTATTTAAGAAAAGAAATTTTTTCTTCTTTCTTTAAACCTAGTCCAAGTTTTTCTTTGAGAGTATCTTGCTTTTAGGAAGAAAAAGCATTAGAAAACATAGGGAGTAATAGCCTAAGAGAAGGCATTTGATTTCACCCTAATTCTCAAGTCTATCGTGCCCTTATTTTTAGGAATATTGTTATAAAAGATAGATTACAAAGCTTCTGAGTGTTATACAATAGCTAAATGAGATTAGACAGTTTTTATTATACCTGTTAATTTCTTTCCAATATTTTTCATAGGTTGCAGATTATATTCCTCAACTGGCCAAATTCAGTCCTGACCTGTGGGGTGTGTCTGTTTGTACAGTAGATGGACAGAGGTGCGTTTATTTCAAAACTATGAAAACCAACTTTAAGCCTTAAATTTTGAGTAACAATGAGCATGATGTAGAGAGGACCATCTTGTATAATAGATAATAATTCTGAGAACAATTTCAAGAAGATAAATAAGTTTATATTATAGTGTAAAAAAACTCAGCTGAAACAGTAATTTTATGTTAAAATTTTGAGGTATTTTATCCTTCTTATTGACAGCTGTAGTCTTATTTGAGTTTTATTCAAGTATCTACAGTTACCAATTCAAGAAATGTAGTCTTGTCAAAACCTGACATTGTTCTTTAATGAACTGACAACTAATAAAATTAGCATATTATTGGTTACTCACCCACCACTATCTTTTTTCCTGATATGGCTGGCATAAGAGTTAAGACCGTACAGCATAGCATATCCCATTATCTATCACTCATTTACAGAGTGAAAAGTCTGTTGCAAAATATGGAGGATTTCATGAAGTTCATGAAAGCCATGTTTGGGAAATGTCTTATTGCAGGCAAAGCTGCTGACAGAATTATAAGAAGGATAGTGATGTGATGAAGGCATTATTAAAGAAAATGATTTTATTTAAAAAAGAATTAAGAGAGGCCCTGGAAGAAATGATGAAGTTCTGGAATATTTTTTCAAGAATGACCCTTTTTTATTGTGCTTAAAGTTAGACATAAAGATTTATTATCAAGTTGTAACTTGATTTTATCAGAAAAATTATTCCGTAAAAGAAAAATGAATATTTTCTCACTCATTTAAAGACTTAGAGATGCAATCTTTTAGTTTTTAGGTTTGTTCTTTTTTATTAAAATATAACTGAAATAAAAGGTATACAACTTATAAGTGTGTATAGAGCTTGATGAGTTTATATCAGAGAGATTATTTTACCCTAAATTTTGTTGACAAGTCATATAATTCTAAAAGTTTAGATTTTATTTTTTAAGATAATGTTCCATTTAAATTTTTTTCCCTTTACTTGTAAATTTTGATCTCTTTGGTGCATTCATTTTAAGTTTTTTTTTTTTTTTTAATTTTTGAGTGGTTATCTTAAACTATTTACAATAAAAAGTGTATGGTTTAGCCTATTTACTTTGAAAATTAGGAATCTGAGGCCCATGGTTGACATGATATTGGCAAAGGTGAAACAAGAACCTAGGTCTCTTAACTTCTAATCCATTTTTTTCATTGTTATAGGCTTTTATCCTAAATTGGGTCCATAAAATGTACAGATTACTCATGGTATTGTAACTTAGTGTTAGATTTATAAGGTTTATAAAACCAATGCTGTTTTTTCTAATGGGAATTGGAAGTAGATGTGATTCACAAGATGAGGCATTTATAGATAAGGTGTCAGATACTAGTATTCAGTCTACACTGAGCGCTCTTTAATTCTTAAACTAAACATGTTTTAACCAAGATGAATACCGTCTAAAAGGACTAGTTCACTTTGTGACTGAATACAGGTAGGAGTAATTAGGGAAGTACCTTCTTTCCTTCAAAGGAAAATTTCCGCATTACTTATTAATTTCCTAATTCAGAACTATTATTTTACCACTTGAATATAAGCTTTTGCCTTTTTTTTTTGCAGTATCACTTTTAAAATAAAAATATTTATTCTTTAATACCAAAGTGAACTTTGTGTTGAATTATGCTTTATAAATTGGAATTAACATGTATAAAAAATAACTCTAGTTATGCAGTTATTTTTTTCCCCATTTGATGTTAATTATCTCTAAAATTTACTTTTATACAGGCATTCTATTGGAGATACCAAAGTTCCCTTTTGTCTTCAGTCCTGTGTAAAACCTTTGAAATATGCCATTGCTGTTAATGATCTTGGAACTGAATATGTGCATCGATATGTTGGGAAAGAGCCAAGTGGATTAAGATTTAACAAACTGTTTTTAAATGAAGATGGTAAGAATTACCTACAAGTTGGTTGAAAAATAAATATTTCACTTTTTAAAGTAAATCTAAGTAATTAAATTTTTTTTGCAGAAATTAAAAATAGTCCCACATTGTTTTCTACTCATAATAAAATTTCTGTGAAATCCATAGAGAGTTTAATCGCCTACTTTTTAAATTTTTAGGCATTTCCTACTACTGGAGAATATGCTAGGGAGAAGATGGGGTAAGGAGTAAGAATTGTACTTACAAGAACCTGTAGGGATATATCTTGTAGAAAAATTTCAAAATTTCTAGAATTTGCTTAAAAAATCATTATACATGAGGTGGGATGGAAAGGGAGAGAAAAGGGAAATTGCATGGTAATGGAGGGAGACCCTCATTGTTATACAAAATTACATATAAGAGGTTGTGAGGGGAATGGGAAAATAAACAAGGAGAGATATGAATTACAGTGGATGGGGTAGAGAGAGAAGATGGGAGGGGAGGGAGGGGGGATGGTAGAGGATAGGAAAGGTAGCAGAATACAACAGTTACTAATAGGGCATTATGTAAAAATGTGGATGTGTAACCGATGTGATTCTGCAATCTGTATTTGGGGTAAAATTGGGAGTTCATAACCAACTTGAATCTAATGTATGAAATATGATATGTCAAGAGCTTTATAATGTTTTGAACAACCAATAAAAAAAAAAAAACATTCAACGGAGGCAGGTGGGAATACTAGGTATGATTATTACTATGTTGGTAATTATTGCTGCTAAATAATTCTATTTGGCAAAGATGAAACAAACACCTAGGTTTTTTAGTTGGTTTTTCTTTCATTGTTTCAGGCTTTTGTCCTCATTTTATACCTGTAAAATGTGCAAAGAGTTAACTGTGCGATTGAATTAAATGTTGGGTGCCATGAAAGCACATAAGGAAATGAGAGGACATGGCTTTATCCCACGTAGCAAATTGGTATACCACACTGGTGTTTATCCGTCACTCAGGGGAAGGGTCTATATTGAACTGAATATAAATTTGAGGGTATATAATGTTCATATACTATTTACTTTTGAATATAGTACATATTTAAAAACTTCCATCATAAAAAGTTTAAATGGAAACCATTGAGATAGTGGCTGAATTTGTTATTGTGTGTGTGTATTTGGTCTTTCTCTTTCATAACTTTTAATTATTTGAAAGATATGTCTGATTAAATAAAGATATGTCTGATTAAACAAGACATTATTTTGCAGGAATTGTAAAGATAAGAGAGGACAAAGGTAGTTAGTACTTTAATCTGATAGTAATTTTAAAACTAAACATCAAACTGTTTTAAGCTAGATTATACTTTATTCCTATGAGTTGGTATCTGTTTTTTAATCTTTCAAGCATATGTGAGGTTCCTGATTGATAAGATATGGAATAAAGTAAGACTGAAGAAAGTAAGAACTTAAGATTGCAATAACTGTTGTAAGAAATATACTTTTATATATTTTTTTTTTTGTGCTGGATAAAAAATGAAATGTGTCTTTCTCTTTTGTTTTTTATTTTGAGACAGGGTCTTGCCAAGTTGCTTAGAACCTCATTAGGTTTTTGAGGCTGGTCTCATACTCAAAATCCTCCTGCCTCAGCCTTCTAAACAGCTGGGATTATAAAAGTGCACCAATTTGTGTGTGTGTGGGGATGGATACCAGGGATTGAACTCAGGGGCACTCAACCACTGAGCCACATCCCTGTTTTGTATTTTGTTTAGAGACAGGGTCTCACTTAGCTAGCTGCTGAGTGCCTTGCTTTTGCTGAATCTGCCTTTGAACTTGCAATCCTCCTGCCTTAGCCTCCTGAGCTGCTGGGATTATAAGAGGTGGCACCTGGCTTGTTTTGTTGTTGTTGTTATTATTATTATTATTATTTTTTTCGGTACTGAAGATTGAACCCAGGGCCTTGTGCATACCAGGCAAGCACTCTACCAACTGAGCTATATCCTTAGCCCTGTTTTATTATTTTTTAAAATGAAGCTATGACTTATAGTTTCTTATTTCTCTTCCAATTTTTTATAGGAATTTCATTACTTCACTTTTTTTTAACTTTTTTTTTCAAATTAGTTATACATGACAGCAGAATACATTTCATTTCATTGTACACAAATGTAGCACAACTTTTTATTTCTCTAGTTGTACACAATGTAGAGTCGCACCATTTGTGCTTCTTCCAGTTTTTTAGAGCAATTATGTTCTCTTATCAATTTTACCCTAAACTTTTTACTTGATTCAATGCAGATTTGTGTAAATTATCATCTTCAGTAATGGTGGCATACAGAAGCAGTTTATTTATTAAACTCATTGACATCCAGGTTTAATATTGAAAATTTAATACTTTTATTCTAATAAGATAAAATGTTTTATAAAAAATTGTACTCTTGTATGAAAAGCAAAGGAGAATAGTTTAGGTGATTCTGGTGAATTGATTAATTTTGAGAGACATATTTAAAGAGCAGAAAATAACAAATGTAGGAATTTGAATGTTTTAAGTATTTCAGAAACAAAATAAAATAGGACTTGGGGTAATGTATTTAAGATTTTAAGTAAGTTTTTTTGGCATGTACATGTATGGTTTTAGAAATATGATTTATTGATACTATAATTTATATAAGAAAAAAATCATGAAAAGAACTTGGGATTTTAGCACTGGTTTACAGTAAAAACTGCAATATAAAGTTTAATGAGGTTTTACCTTGGTATTCCTAGACTTTTTCTAAACTTGAGTTAATACCAGGAGTTTTGAAAATAATGCTAAAATAAAGGCCTCACTAAGCCAGTCCTTCCTGATTTCTATATTGTTTCTGTACTCTTGAGTCTTGGTTTAGATCAGCCCAAGCAAGACACAATTTGAAGATCTTATTTACATTTAAAATTTCAAGGGTAGATTTGTGGTGAAACGACATACTGTATGAATTCATTTGTGTCTGTGTATCTAGCATTATTAAAATTTAAAAAATAAATTTGGTAATAATGCCCTAATTTTATGATTGGGACAATAAACTGAGATTAATCTGAATATAATGAATAGATAAAGAAATTATGGTCGTTATTCTTTTTTTAAAATATTATTTTTAGTGATGAACACAGCATATTTATTTATTTGAATTTTTTTAGCTGTAGATGTACACAAACCTTTATTTTGTTTATTTATTTTTCACGTGGTGCTGAGGATTAAACCCAATGCCTTACACTTATTAGACAAGTGCTCTACCAGTGAGCCACAATCCCAGACCCTATTTATTTATTTTTATGCAGTGCTGAGGATCGAACCCAGTGCCTCACACGTGCGATTCAAGCGCTCCACCACTGAGCCACAACCTCAGCTGGGTACACACAGCCATGCTAACTACCGTTCTAATCTCTGCTTCTGAGTTCAACTTTTTAAAATTCCATATACAAATGAGATCATGCAGAATTTGTTTTTCTGTGCCTAGTTTATTTCACATAATATCCTCCAGATTTAACCATGTTATTGTAAATGATTATTTCCTTGTTTTTTAAAGGTTAATAATATTCCATTGTGTATACATATCTCATTTTTATTATTCATTCATCCATTGATAGACATTTAGTTTGATTCCATATCTCAGCTGTTGTGAATAGTGTTTTAGTGAATATGGTAGGGCATATCTCTCTTCAGTATCAGGATTGGATTATATTGGATAAATACACCCAGTGGTGGGATGGCAAGGTCCAAAATGCACAATTTTAAAAGCATAACTACCAAATCACAGTGAAAGAAACGAGGCTGTAATTTATTCATTGTTATGATCTCTTGAATTTTTTTAATTAAAAAAATGTGTGACAGTTTTAATGAGATAATTTACATATAACACAACTCACCCATTTAAAGTATACAGTTCATTGGCTTTTACTGTATTCACAGAGTTGTGCAATCATTATTACTATTATCCATTTTAGAGCACTTCCATCACTCCCTAAAGAAATCTCATACCCTTTAGCCATTATTCCTCATTCTCTTCTACTCCAGGAAACTAGTAATCTACTTTCTGTTCTTATAGATTTATCTGTTTGGGAAATTTCATATAAATGCAGTCATATAATATTTGCTCTTTTATGACTGGCTTTTTAAAATGATGTTTTAAGATCTATCCATGGCATAGCTTTATTCCTTTTTTCTAATATTCCATTGTATCTATTTGTTTATCCACTTTTCAGCTGATGGAGCATCTGAGTTGTTTTCATTTTTTAAAATTTTATTAGTAATGTTTCTGTCAACATTTGTATACAAGTTTTTGTATGGACACATTTTAATTTCTCTTGGTGTTATACCCAGGAGTGGAATTGCTTTATATGTTAACTCTGTTTAACGGGACTAGTAATATAGGGATAACTTATATACTGTGCTAGCTTTGTCAAGTTAGATAAGGACTTGTTCCTTAAGAAATAAATCACTGCTGCAAACAGATAAATTAGGAATAATGCTTACAAATAGATATTTTCACTGCTCTCAAGAATTTTGTGTTTGACATTTTTGCTGTGCAATAATTGAGAATGTAATCAGTTGAGATTTGAAAATTCTCTTTATTGTAAGAAGTAGAATAGATAACATTTTGGTTGAACTTAAAATTTTAAGTAACTTTTAAAAAACTGTGCAAGAGAACATCCTTATGTCCAGAAGTATAGGAAATGATATGATTTACATACACTGTAATCTTACTCTCTTATGTATATCACTTGTGTTTCTTTTGTTCTGTGTAGGTATGTATTTATACATAGGCACAAGAATAAAATACTTTTTTTAAAAAGCAAAATTGGGATCACACCACATGTGTTTTTCAAGATTATTTTTAATATATTGAGTGCTTTGGTGGGTATCAAACATTTTCTGAGCATCTCATGTGTTTTAGAGTTATAAGTTCCTATTATTACCTTGTTCACAAAGGAGAAAATTGAGATGGGATTCGTTTACTTGCCTAGGGACTGAGGGCCACATAACTGGTGAATGTGAGTTAGGAAATTTGGATATATTTTTATATTATTACTTCCTGAATCTGTATATGAATCCTTGCTTGACTATATGACTATTAGAACAAAGTCCTAAAAATAAAGCACTGGTTTGATATGTAACTGATTTCAAAATATGAACTTCCTCCAAGAAAACAGCTACTATATAATAGACTTATGTTTAAAAGAGTTAATGTTTATGAGAAGTACATCAAAGAAAATAGTACTATAGTGAAATGCCATTATTGCTTTTATATTTTACAGATAAACCACACAATCCTATGGTAAATGCTGGAGCAATTGTTGTGACTTCATTAATAAAGGTAAGATGTTGATGTTTCTTTTAATCTAGTAAACTTTTTGTAATAACTAAGGCATAAAGATGAATCTTGGATTGTTTAGGTAGGGCTATGAAAATTTTTCTCTTAGTGTTAAAAAATTAATATTGTGGTACAGGGTTAGAATTTTGATTTATTCCAAAATAAATAATGTCATAATTTAAAGGCAAAATTTAAAGCAGATGACTCATTGTAAATCCCAAGAATTAGTTACCTCTTGACTTGAAGATTTGGCAAAGATTTAAAAAGTCTGCTGAACAATAAGCACAGAGGTTTTTGTTCTTAAATTTTTCGTATTTTTTTAAATTTCTCTTCCTTTTGGCTCTTCTAGAATGAACAGGTGTTAGAATTAAATCATTTTATTGCCTAATGTTTATTATTAGCATATGTAAGAACAAATGTTCTAATAGTTTGTGTTTAAGACAAAGTATATTTACTATTGAATATTCTCAAGTTTTTCATACTCTCATGATCTGGAATCACAGTTTTCATTTGAAATAGTTTCATTTGCTTTACTTAAACCATGCCATAATTAAGATAAGCAAGGCTTATTCCAATTATTAAGTTATGTTATTTTTCTTATGCCTTGACATTTACATTGTTTGTTTGTTTTTTTCTTTTTTTAGTGTTTGGTTTGCCTTAATAATTGGAAGCTGTGATGTTTTTAAATGTTTAAAGTGTTTGAAAATGGTTCAATTGTATGATAGATTTTTTCTATCACACAATTTTAGATTTTGATTTTTAATTCTAGTTATAAATTCTACTTATTGAAATAAATTTTTTTTGTGTTTGGAACATTTATATACTTTCTTTAGTAACTGTGTATTTATTTCAAGTTAGAATAAAAACATAATGGCTTTGTAAATACATTATTATGGATGGAGGTACTTTCGTTGAATAAGCAATGTGCAAGGATAAATGATACCCTTGGCCCAGTTCACAAATTCATCTTAATTTGTATACAAGAAACTCTATCTTAACTCTCATGAGTTTTATAACTTTATGAGGAAAAAATTTTAAAATAGAAGACTACTATCTTAAGAATATATGTGTTTAGTTGCTGTTATGGGGGCAAATGCTTTATTAAGATTGATATATTTAATTCTTAAAATTTTAATGAAGTAGATATTATAGTCAAATATTTTTAAATGTAACTAATTTTCATAGGTTGTGGAAATTTGTCACTTCCTTCATTACATATAGGTGTTGATGGCTATTTTACTAAGAGAAAGTTTTCATTCTGAGGTGAAAGAAACTATAGAAAATGGCAATGCAATTATGTGCAAGGTATAATTATGCCTTTAGGTAGCTTACATTGTAGTATGGAGTATACACAAGTAAATGGGCCCTTATAATTAAATTCAGTAAATGTTATGATAAGCAAGTCTCAGTAATAATTTATATTTGAACAAGTAACTCAAAAGTAAGGAAAATTATTATAGTATAATGTGTGTGTTAGTGCTTGATTTTAAAAACATTAGCATGGTTCTGAACCACTTCTGGTCTTTTCCAGAAAACTGTCCACATATTATGATTTTACATAGATTTTAGGGGGTTCACAGATCATTGGAAGACCCAGCTTCTCCTCTAACACTGAAGAAAGAATAACATAGCACACCAATAGCATTTTTAAGAAAGGGCATATGTGAATGATTAATGGAATACTTCCTTAACTGCATGCAGTTAAAAATCTTTTTGTTTAATGATTCATGGGTTTAGTCCACTGAACTGAAATGCTGCATGTGGTAATTGCATGTCTGGTCATATCATGCCATCACTTCATTAGTTTCACTATCCATGTTCAGTTATAAATGATAAGCTAAACATTGAACCACATTATTACAATTAGAAACATGGAGCAATCAGAAACAGTTAAATACACACACCCCTAACATAATTGTGGTTAAGTGATCAGTAGTGCAAAAGTTTAACTGAGTCATCCTAAATTTGCAAATTTGATCAGTGATTTTAAATTATAAAAATTAAAATTTACTGACAAAGTCAGAAATTAGCTTTTGAGATATGGATCACTTTCTTTGAGTTTTTTTTTTTTTTTTTTTGTTGTTGTTGTTTGTTTGTTTGTTTTAGAATGTGTATCAAAGTGTTATTTTTTTTTAACCAAAGTTTATATAAATCTTGGAGTGTACAGCCTGAGTACAATCCTGTGTAAAAACCAACTGCCCTTTTAAAGGTCCCTGACCTTTTATATATTTAAAATTTTTTTGTAGTTGTAGATGGACAGAATGACTTTATTTTATTTATTTTTTTTGTGGTGGTAAGGATTGAACCCAGTGCCTCACACTTGCTAGGCAAGCACTCTGCCACTGAGATATAGCCCCAGCACCCTGACTGGGACCTTTTAAAGAAATAATTTGAAATTTTATATAAATACCTGTATGTGATCTCTACAAGCTAAATGATCACATTATATTTACCAATTGGTAATGGTTGGAAATTCAAGTAGTAAACCATAGCCAAAAGCCCCTTAGAAGTTGTCAAGCCTAGTCCTCTTTGTATACCTCAGGAAACAAGAGTGACAGGTTTTACCGACAGTAGAATGGGCTTTCGACTAAATCTCTCAATATTCTGTTTATTATTGGAATTTACTGTGCCATTTTTAACATAGGTGTTTGTTGTTTCACTTGATGACATTTGAATTGAACTAGTATAGTTTACACTGTCCAGAAAAAGCAGAAATATGACTTTCTTAATCTGTTACTTATACAGAAGATACTGATTGTTGACTTAAAAAATGCATCTGTTTTTTAGGGGGTATATGTAGTTATAGAATATAAGTCAGTTCCTGCTCTCTGTAAGGAAATAGGACCTTCCCAAGGACCTTGTATTTTAGGGCCTTGTAAAGTATGGATATTTTATCATGGCTACTAAGTTGCAAATTCTATTTTTATCTCTTTTAGTTGACTTTAGGGTTGTTTGTGATCTTTTTTTTCATTCAAAATTCAGGGCTTTATTATTGTGTCATTGAAACATTTGTCCTAATGTTACTCCCCTCCCAAAACTTAAAAAAAAGAAAGAAAACAAATTAAGTAGAGTCTTTAGTAAGACTCTTTATTTCATAATTTTGTAGTATTGATATTTTTTCCTTGTAGGATTGGTGGTGATCCTCAGGAAATGGGGGAAGAGGCAGAACAAATGTTCAAAAGGATTAGCAGATTGTGGAAAAAAGGAGAATTTGGACAGAAGGAACCTGTTGCATAAATTCTTAACTACTAAGCTTATAGGAAAACTCCAATATTTAAAATTTTAAACAAAGCTGTATAGGTAAATACCTTTTTAAAAACAAATGTCATTTTATACTTAAAATGCACATAATTAAAAAAAAAATAAGGGTTACAATACGTCCTCACTTATTCTCTATGGTAGCTACTAACATTAAAGGAATACTTTTTGTTGCAGTCTGTTTTATTTGATGATGTTGATAATGTATGATTGCTTGATTTAAAGAAAAGAATAAATTTGAAAGGAATATAGATAATGTCTAGGAGAAATAGTAGTATCTTTATTGTAATTTTTTATCTTTTCACTGGTAAAAGTTTCACCTAGTTTTAGTTTAAAAGTTAGTCTGATAACTTAAGGTTTAGAGTGGGAAGATGAGGGCCACATACTGCGAAATAATTGTTACACTTTTGTTTTTTTTTAAATTTTAGAAATAGAGTAAGATACATTATCTTCCATGTTTATATGACTATTCTAGTGGTAGTTTCCAGTTTTTATCATTTGAAGAACTTTATTTTTCTTAAAAATCAGAAATGTTTTTGAATTTAAAAAATTGAGTTATTTTTCTCTTTAAACAATTTAATCATCTCTATGAAATATCAAGACAAGTTTAGCTAATGTATATATAATCCTCCATTTGGTCATGATTGGATTTGTGTATTGGCCACATTTTTAGGGAGGTTTGTGACTCTAGAGAGTAATGGATGATATCTTATACTTGGTAACATTTGGAAGACAAGATTTTATATATATATGTGTATATATATAAATTTTTTTTTCTTTTAAACTTCAGTTTATGTTAGTGATACTTTTGAGAATAAAATACAAGAGAATTTTACCAACTGAATCCACTATTTTTTTATTTTTAGGGCTAATCTATGAAAACACTAGAGCTAGAACAATTTTTTTTTTTTACCTGTAACATCTGTTTTTAATTCACCTAGTACTGTTGAACTTTAAAGCATTTTCTGTGGCAAGAGTAAATCAAGCATATTTTATAAAATCATTTTCAGTTATCTCTTTGCCTTTTTCCTCTACGATCTCTAATTTTAGTTGATTTTCACTACCCTACTTTATGAATGTAATCTAGTGTATTATAAAATAACTCTGATTAATGTATTGACTTTAGTTGAGCCAATTCTTATATTAAATTTCTGGGAGATGTCTTTGTTAATAGTGATATGAATTAATTGTTGAATACATTGTGAAAAAACAGTGTAAAAAAACCCTCTCCAATATAATTATATAATTCTTCTCATAGATATTATTGAAGTTCAGTGCCTCTTTATTAAATTTTCACTCATAATTTTCTTTAAAGAATGTAAATTGATAGGTATACTTAAAGAAAAATAACTTTGTATAATTTTCTGGTATCAGGATCTGATTACCCTTTTTACACAAACCACATGATTTGCTTTTAAAAGGCATGTGATAAATTGATTAGAAATTTTAGTAAATATATATATATTTTGGGCGGGGTGTGGGTACCAGGAATTGAACTCAGGGGCACTTAACCACTGAACCGCGTCCCCAGCCCTATTTTGTATTTTATTTAGAGACAGGGTCTCACCGAGTTGCTAAGTGCCTTGCTTTTGGTGAGCTGACTTTGAACTTTTGGTCTTCTTGCCTCAGCCTCCTGAGCCCCTGGGATTACAGGTGTGTGCCACTGCACCCAGCCAGTAAATATATTTTGCCCAATTTAAATGTTCCTACTATATTTACTACAGATTATTGTAACTTTTTCAAAATTAAATTAACACAGTATCTAATAATGCTTGTGTTGTGATCTTCAAACTGGTGTAAATATATCCCTGGATACATGAAGGAAAAAAGTACATGGATAATTTAAGATAATTAGTTTCCAGTATATTTCCATATGTACCTTTCTTAAAATTAATTTGTCTGTGATCTAGGTGTCATCCTGTTCTCAAAAACAGTCATACTCATGTGTCCTAAATTTTATTATGGTGCACTGCTTTGGTTTATTAAAAACCTCTTGGATACCATAAGAGGGAACATTTTGAAATACCGAAGTCAGTGGTATTGAGTATGTGAATCAGAGTAATGATTGATACGTCCTATTGTATTTCCAGTTCTTTGTTTCCAATCAAACTGAATGAGGATTTAAGTGAATTGTCAGGTAATAGGAGTAGTGTAATTTTTGAGGATAAGTTATTGTGTGAATTCTGTTGTGATGAGGTAGGTGACTTTTGACTTGGTGAGATAACAGGTGTATAAAGAAATGGGTGACATTACCAGAAACAAACCTTTTTCTATTTTAGTCTGCTCATGTATTTTAAGCTTTGTTTTTCAACTCACATATCTGTAAAAATTAAAAATAAGAAGGAAATTAGTTCCCATCTTACTTTATCAATAGAAAATATTGATGTATGAATTAAAAATCAATGACTATTTCAAAGGGGAAAGAAAATACTCAAGAACAATCTTGTAAAATAGTATAGATTATTATTGATTCAGTTTTTTCCCTTTAACTTTTAACTAAAAGAATTCAAACATATACAACATAACAGAATAATATGACCAGCCACATTGTACCTACTCTTAGCCTAAGGGTAGGCACATGAAATCTTTCTAAGAGATACAGAGGCATATGTATTTTATTGACTTCAGTTAAATGCAATTTCCAGGTAGATAATAATGGTAAATGTTAATCAAATGTCTTTACACTTAAGTGGAGAAATTTGGAGGAGAAACATTACTTTAGTCCACATAATCATTCATTATTCTATTTTGCCCTATCTACATACTCTACCCATGGCATTTTGAGTAGTTTATTAAAAATATTGTATAATGATAGATATTGGTTAATAGTCATTGTTTCTTAAAAACAACATAAAAGCAAACCTTAAGTGTACTTTAACTGAGTAAGCCACGAACTTGACCAAGTATGTGATATGTGACCACAGTCTAGAATTGAAATGGTTTTCTATTAAACATGAGAGCTCAATAAGGAAAACTTGTATTACATTTTCATAGTGTACAGTTTAGGTCAGAGAATGAAAGTTCAATATAACTTGTTTACTTTATATTGATTAATTGTATAACCAGTAATTATCCATGTGACATCCAGTGCAAATGCTGACATCCTTTTCCAATCAAAGAGTTGTTTTTTTTTTTTTCTTTTCTTTCTTTCTTTTTTTTTTTTTTTTTGTGCTTTTTCTAAGGTTAAAAAGGTTTTTGTGGCTTAAATGTTGTTACATATTTTACAGCATTAGGACTATGGAATATTTTGACAACTGCAACAGTTCAATGAAGTTGGTAATTTCTTCTTTTAATTATTTTTCATTGAACAGCTTTGGAGTACATTTCTTCATTTAATTTCTGCTATTTTATAAGGAGAGAAAGCTTAAAATATATCAAAGGATGCTTTACATAAAATATGTAGATAGGGATTACAATCTGACTGTTGCTAAATTACCTTATCTTAAATTTTGTTAATGCCTAATTTTGATGCAATATTGTGGTGTTCTGTCCAATTATTGATTGTATATGTGTGATTGCACTTCTTTCTTATGTAAGTTGATTTGTAGGGTTTCACATATTATCAACCATACCCTCATCTTCTCGTAAGTGGAGAATGAATCTGGCTTTATTTAATTAAACAGTACTCTGGAACACGTTTTCTTCCCATAATAGGACTTGAAAATATATGTTTTGGATTTTTTGAGGGTAAATATGTTTTAAAAACTAGTTGTCAAATTATTTTATTTTAAGCCTGTTTTAGAAATTAGAGATGTATTGTTTCTCTTGGGTGCATATCACCAATTAATACGTTTGATTTCAGATCTACAACTTACTGCTTTGTAAACTTCGCCGAGGTAAAATGAAACCATTTGGCTACTTGAACTGATCTACATTACATAGGTTTTTCCTAATGACCTAATGACATTTGCAGTAGATAACTGTCAGAAATAGAAGTGATGAAACAATACATCTTCCACACTCTCAATTGGCATAATGTGAAATACAATTATGGCTAATTTTTAGAGACTATGAAATAGTTTTTTAAGTTCAAGTATTATTATAAAAAATGAAAAACATATTAAGGGTAGAGCTTTTTCCACACTACTAAATGTATCCAGAATGTTTACATATTGTAGAATTATAAGAGATTAGTCAGTTTTGCAACATAACTCATTTTTTCTAATTCAATTAATATTGGTTTAAGGTTTTTAAAAAATATAAATAGATTATTCTTAATTGAAATTATTGTTTATATATGCTTAAATCTTTTTAAGGTGAAACTTTATTTTAAGTTTTTTAAAATATGAAATTAAATAACAAACAGTTTGTCAGATTATGTACTGTCATGACAGATAAGGGAATTTCAGGATAACTTGTGTATAAAATTCTGTAAATTGGGTTGAGTAAAGATATACTTAAAATAAAGCATTCCCTTTGTAATTTTGATTTTTTTTCTCTCAACATATGGGTGTTAAAGAACATGTAAAAATGTTTAAATATTAAATTACTTTAGAAGTATTTCCTAGTTTTAAAAGTACTAATGCATTGTATTAATTATAATGGTAGCTATTTGAAATTTTATATTATGTTAGCTTGAAACTTAACTCTGGTGGTGTGTATATTAACATATTTATATCTTGTTTCTTCACAGCAAGGAGTAAATAATGCTGAAAAATTTGATTATGTAAGTGCATTATAAAATTCCATTTTCATTCTACATTCTTTATATATTTGTTTTTGGTTACTAATACGTCCTAATTTTGGTTTATAGGTGATGCAGTTTTTGAATAAGATGGCTGGTAATGAATATGTTGGATTCAGTAATGCAACGTGAGTCTGATTTGTGGCTTAGGATTTTATAGTTGGTCAGGCCTCTTTAACAAAATAATCTAGATTATAGAATTTTATTTTTAATACTGCTTTGTTAACTTCTCCTATATACATTATGTTTATGTACAGTAGTATTTTTAGAATTAATGTGCTCTTGATCCTGGGACTTACTTTAGTAAATAAATAATTAAAATTTAATCATAGAAGGAAATAAATGATTTCTAAATTATATGACAGGAACATTTAAAAACGCTTTAAATGGTTTTAATAAATTTCTTATACATAGCCATAGAATCAGGAGGTACCCCAAGTTTACCTCAAATTACTGGCACTTATTCAATTTTCTCTTTGCCTATAATACCTGTCTCACCTCTTTTATCTCTCTGTGCCTAGCTAATGTTATTTTTACTCCAATTTGTTGTTTTGAAATTTTCAGCCTACAAAAAAGTTGTATTTCACTTATACTTATTCTCTGATTAATATTTTGTCTCCTTTTTTCTTACTATTTCTTTTTAGATAGTTAAAAATATGTGCATGTTTAGTGTCCCTCTATTTCTGTCACCACTGCTTAAATTCAACTTTCTGCACTTCTCATTTCTTGATATATCACTCATCTTTTCGTTTTTCCAGTTTCCCAAACAGATGTCACAGTGATCTATTTTATAGAATGTAGATCTAACTAAGTAACTTGTTTGAAAGCCTTCAGGCTCTCTCTCTCTCTCTCTCTCTCTCTCTCTCTCTCTCTCTCTCTCTGTCTCTCTCTGTATGTGTGTGTGTGTGTGTGTGTGTGTGTTTAATCAGTTCTAATCAGTTATACATGACAGAATGCTCTTTAATTCATTGTAAACAAATGGAGCACAATTTTTTATTTCTCTGGTTATACAAGAAGTAGGGTCACACCATTTGTGCAATCATACATGTACCTGTGGTAACGATGTCCATTTCATTCCACCATCTATCCTACCCCCATACCCCCTCCCCTCCCACCCCTTTGCCCAATTCAGAGTTCATCCTCTCATCCCATGCCCCACCCCCAACCCCCACCACTATGGATTAGCATCCGCTTATTAGAGAAAACATTTGGCCTTTGGTTTTTGGGGATTGGCTTACTTCACTTAACATGATATTCTCCAGCTTCAGATTATGTTTTGTGCACAGTCAAGAGTCATTACACTTTTTGGCATTCACTAGTCTTAATAATATGGTCCAATTTCCTTTTCTAGTTTTATGTTTTTCATTCTTCTTCCTATACCACTTCCCAGATACATCAAAATGTTTTTTACTCAATGAAGTTCTGTCTTTTGTACTTTTGTAACTTTGTTTTTGCTGCATGGAATTTGCTACTGCCTAGACTTCCCCCTGAAATCTGTTAGTCCTGTAGGAGATCCATTTTATTTGTTCTTCTCTCCGTGAAACTTCTGTGGATTTGCTCAGTTGGAATTAACTGTTGTACTCTTGGGAAAAGCTGGATTCTATAATTTTCAGTGTATTTTAATGATGGCATGTTTGAGAATTTTAAAATTAGCCTCTTTGTTCATAAAATATGAATATCAGAAAGGACATGAGTTAATTTCTGTCCTTTTATAGCTGAGAAAACTAAGACTGAAAGATTAGCACTTAAGACCTTCTCAAGACCAAATAACAAGCCTGTTGACAGTATTAAAACTAGATAGCTCAAATAGTTCTGAGTCTTAGTTCAGTGTTATTCATACTGTACTTTTCTATACAAAGTAAAGAACATGCGTATTTTTACAGAAAGTAAATAAATGTTTTTTCTTCTAGGTTTCAGTCAGAAAGAGAAAGTGGAGATCGAAATTTTGCAATAGGATACTACTTAAAAGAAAAAAAGGTTTTTAAATTTTTGTTTCTACTTTAGATTGTACTTTTGTTCAATAAAATATGACCACACATGCTAAGAACTCTACAATATCCTTTAAATAAATTCTTATTATTTAAAGTACAGAAGTAGCTGGGTTATGGTAGTAGCCCATGCCTGTAATTCCAGCTATTTGGGAAGACTGAGACAGGATAATCACAAGTTAGAGGCCAGCCTAAGCAACTTAGTGAGACCCTCTCTCAAAATAAAAAATAAAAGAGGCTGGGGATGTAGCTCAGTGGTAGAGAGCCCCTGGGTTCAATACCCAGTGCCTTAAAAAACAAACAAAGCAAAAAACCAATTTTTTGCAATCAAGTTAGTGTTACCAAATTGTTAATGTTATTATTAAATTTTATTTATATTTGGCAGTGTTCAAACATTTGACTAGTTACAGTAATGCAAATTCTGCTTGAGGTTTAGTCCATTGTTTTAAAGTACATTGCCTGATTAGTTGATTATCCTTGATTATTATTATTATTTTTGTGGGGGGAGGGATTGAACTCAAAGGTGCTTAACCACTGAGCCACACCCCAGCCCTTTTTTATATCTTATTTAGAGACAGCGTCTTGCTAATGTGCTGAGACTGGCTTTGAACTCAAGATCTTCCTGCCTCAGCCTCCCAAGCCACTGGGATTACAGGCATGTACAACCACGCCTGCTACACTTGAGTTTTAAAAGATTTAAAGTCTTAAGTCTAATAACTTGATTTAAGACTCATCAATCAGTTTATCATTGTCAGTTAAACTAGTATCTAGAAATTTATATGATGTTATGTAATGCTACATTGTTTATAGGTTACATACTATTTTGTTCTCAGTTAAAATGAAACTTGTACATTTTAAACTCAATCATGACATACTCCTGTTTTTATATGCCTGTTTGTTTTTCTGAGTGTTTATGTTTCGAATTGCCTTTCTGTTTTTCAGTGTTTTCCAGAAGGCACAGACATGGTTGGTATACTAGACTTCTATTTCCAGGTAATTTACTGTGATTATATGAACTGTATATATAAATAGATGTGACAAGTTTTGTAAATATAACATTTTGCAGATATCTTTGAAATCTTGATTCTCAGCCATGAAAAATTTCATTTTCCATTGACTTTCCAAAAAAAAAAGAAATTCCTCACAAAAGATAGTCTCATGTTAATATCTCCTAAAAATACATGCTTCAGAATGGAATAGGGAAACATTCTTTCAAAAACTTAAGAAGTGATATGCAATCTTAGAAATTGTATTCCCTTGGTTGTAAGAAGCTATTTATCAGAATGCTGGTATCCAGTGATTTAAAATGTCTGTTTTAGCTGACTTGCTGTTTTTCGTAATCTTTGTTACTACTTTGTTCTGGTTTAATTGGTGCTCAAAGAATAATTGTTTAACTCACTTCCGCAGTGTCACAATTAGTTTTTTCTAAGTTAGAGTAGCTCTCAGTATTCATAGGGTAGCAGGGAGCAGAGACCATGCACATAATCTGATGTGGTATGGTCCTCAATTTAGTATAGTCTTGCTATAATATGAAGCTACATAGTAGACTGTTATTTTTGATATCTAGTTTACCTTACTTTACTTTTGAAGGTCTTTACTTTAATCTTAACCTTTTAGTGGTTTTATAGAATCTATATTAGGGAAGTTGATAATGTATCAGATTTTTATTTGTTCTTTTTAGATATACAGATCAGTATATTTTGACATATTTATATAAATATGAAGTGCATCTTACTCTAGTCAGGATCCCAGTCTTGTAGTGATGTTCATAAAATATGAACAGAATGCTCTGTGGTATATTCATATATATTTCCTTTTCATAGGAAAATTATATCAGATTCATTCCACTTTTTCCTATTCCTGTTCCCTCTCCATTCCCTTCATTCCCCTTTGTATAATCCACTGAACTTCTATTCTCCGCCTCCCCCTTATAGTGTATTAGCATCTGCATATCAGAGAGAACATTCAACCTTTGGTTTCTTAGGATTAGCTTATTTTGCTTAGCATAATACTCTACAGATCCATCCATTTACCAGCAAAAGTTATAGTCATTCTTTTTTTTTTTTTTTTAATGACTGAGTCATACTCCATTGTGTATATATACCACATTTTCTTTATACATTCATCTGTTGAAAGGCACCTAGGTTGGTTGCATAGCTTAGCTTTTGTGAATTGAGCTGCTATAAACATGGATGTGGCTGCGTTACTGTAGTATGCTGATCTTAAGTCCTTTGGGTATATACTGGGGAGTAGGATAACTGGGTCAAATAGTGTTTCCACTCCATTTTTTCCTGAGGAATCTCCATACTGCTTTCTGTAGTGACTGTACCAATTTGCAGTCTCACCATCAATGTTTGAGTATACCCTTTTCTCCACATTCTCACCAACATTTATTGGTATATGTATTCTTGATTGTTGCTGTTTTGATGGGAGTGAGATGAAATATCGGTGTAATTTTAATTTGCATTTCTCTAATTGCTAGATTTTGATGGAAGTACAGGTCTTCCTTTGTCATCTGCCCAATGTGAAATGCCATGAATTGAGAATCCAGAATCAATATAAAATTCAAGGTCTATCTTGACTTTGTTAGTCATATAATTTAGTTTCAGTTACTGGGTCCTCATTTCATTTTCTAACATATTCCTGACCTAAATATATTGAAGATAACATAGGATAATATGGGTGAAATGCCTTTGAAACTTATAAAGTCTTATGTGAAATATAGTATCACTCTTTTCATTTATTTATTTATTTACATGCAGTGCTGAGAATTGAACCCATGAACCTAGAATTACACATGTTAGGCAAGCACTGTACCACTGAGCCACAATCCCAGCCCATTATTTTTATTCTTATCCAATAATCTTTACTTTTTTCCCAGCCCATATAAATTTTTTCCATTAGTTAATGTTTCTTTTCCTTTAGAATATATATTTGATTTTTGGATATTATAGCTTAGGTGCTACTAATCTACTGTGAAATTTCTATACTTAGCGCAAAAATCCAGAGATAATCATAGAAGACTAACTGTTTTAGAAAAGTGATGCATTTGATTAAGTGAACATCCATCAAGTTATCAGGAGAATATTCTCAAATTGGCATTTGTCAAATTAGGGGAATGCCACTTTACAACAAACAATTCCAGTTAATACTAAGTATAAATTAGAAAATGATCATTGGAACTTAAATCTTATTTCACTTAGAAAGCCTTTTATAATTAATCAACCTGCAGTTTTTTTCAAGGCAATGTAGTAAGTAGATTTTGTAGTTTTGGAGAAATAGGGAAATTGTGTTAATACTAAAGGGAGAAAGTAAAAGTTGATCAAAAAGTGATTCTCAGTCAGAGCTATACAAACTGTGTTCCAATTCACTGTAATTAATTTTATTTCTTGCTGTTTCCAAGCTCCTTTTTACTTCTTGTAGATCTTGCAGTATGCCTGAGGAAAGTTTTAGAATTTGAGGATCCAATCTTCTCTTTCTTCTTGTCTTTCCACTTTTTCCCACAATCTTGATTGTTATCATTAAAAAATAAAACATTGAGGAATTTATTATTTTAGTTATGGGTAAATTTGGGTTTGATGTAATAAACTATTTTTATTAGATTATATTTAAATGCAAAAAAAATTGTCCAGATGTACTTGGCTTTCTCTTTTTTCATTCATCACAATATATCTATCTCCCATAGTAAATATCAAATAAATATAAGTGATCTAAAGATAACATTATAGTTTAGGCTCACAGAGCATTCATGCTAGAGCTCTCAAATATTCTTCCTTTTGGTCCTTTGCATGTTGCTGTATAAATGGGGATGTTGAGCTTTCTTGTGTAGATGAAATATCAGGCAGTTTTGCATTTTTTCCCCTCAAAGTAGTAATTTCTCATGTAGAGGTTGTTTGTCATAATATTGTTGTATATTGCTTTTTCTTAAAAATGTTAACTTGGCTTATTTTTTCCTATTGTGTTAAAAATAATTATGCTTACATAATCCATTACATAATTAATAGTGAATAGATTTGAATTTTACATAAGACAACAATAAATCTTAGTGTTTAGGAACACTTCTAACCTTGTTCTGCCATTAAAACTCTGAATAACTTTGGGCAAATCAGGATATATCTTAAAGGGGCTAGAACTTTAGTCAGTTAAAATCTTTGGAATATCAATAGGCTACATTAAAGTTATCCCTTTGAAAGAAATATTTCAGAGATGTATGAAATACCAGATAAAATAGATGATCTTAGAAAATAAAAATAGTAATAGCCTAAATATTCAGAATTCTTTTTTGTTTGTTTGTTTTAGCTGTGCTCTATAGAAGTGACTTGTGAATCCGCCAGTGTGATGGCTGCAACACTGGCTAATGGTGGTTTCTGCCCAATTACTGGTGAAAGAGTACTGAGTCCTGAAGCAGTTCGAAATACACTGAGTTTGATGCATTCCTGTGGCATGTATGATTTCTCAGGGCAATTTGCTTTCCATGTGAGTAGTTGTTTATTAATTTTCTCCAGCAAGAATCTAGTCTGGAATTTTTTTTAAGCAGTTTGAACTTTGCTTCTAAAGCTGTATATTAATTTTTGAAAGAGAGGCTTATTTTCAAGGTTAATTTGTTACAAATTGGTAAGAAATAGAGTTAAAATAGTCTATCAGATGTTCTTAAGAACTTGGAAGTTTAATTTAAAGAACCTCATTGCTTCTGCTTGTAAAGCATTTCTACATTTAAGGTTAGTACAGACTTTCTTTACTTTTATTTGTCATTGTTTAGCATTATAGTGACTGCATTCCGAAAGTTCAAAAGGAATACTTAGATGGGATGTTTAACCTCTTTTGTTACAGCCGTAGATGTTTTAAAGGGCTTAAAGTATATTAAAATTAAAGCTTAAAAATATACTCCTTTAAGTTCTATTGTGCATTTGCCAGTGTGAAACATATGGACCTTTCTTATTTCATCTTGCTTATATTATGTCGTAATGCAGTCCTAAAAAAATTTTTTTTGGGGGGGAATTTCAAGTATGCTAAAATAGAGAAATGGATTTAATGTTACCTATCATTCACCTTAAGTAATTATAAATACATGACTAATCTTGTTTCATCTGTGTACATGTCTACTTTCCCATCCTTATCATATTCCAGTATATAAATTCAAATAATAAAGACCCTTAATAAAATATATGAGTACCATTAGGGGGCTGGGGTTGTAGCTCAGTGGTAGAGTGAGTGCCTGCCTTACATGTGTGAGGCCCTGGGTCAATCCTCAGCACCACATAAAAATAAATAAATAAAGATATTATGTCCCCCCAAAAGAGTTTTTTTAAAAAAAAATACTATTATTACATATTTAAAAACTTAAATATTACATATAAAAACATTATCTTTAATCAGTATTAAATTTAATATCAAGATATTTAGTTTTCAGATTTCCTGGATTATTTTATATATTATGACTATATTATTTTACAATTTGTTTGACTTGTGATGCAAATAATGACCATATATTGTGATTGGTTGTGTGGCCATTTATTTTCTTTTAATCTATAAGTCTCTCCATGATCTCTCTTTTTCTCATTATTTTTGGTTGGGTCATTTATCCTGTACAGCCTTTCTTGGTCTAGATTTTATTCATTACATATGTTCCATTGTGCTTTGTAGTTCCTGTGAATTGTTTTATCCAATTCAGATGGTTTCCATTGGCTTGTTTTATTTGGTTTTGTGCAAGATTATCTCATTAGTATAATTTTATCAAGAAGTGCTTAATGTCTGAATGTTAGTAAGCCATTAATAAATGCTGCACTGATGAAACTAATTTTTCTTTTATCATAATTGTTGTCAAGTTTTGCATAATGTAGACAAACTTTCTGAAGAGGATTGATTTGAATTACTTTTTATTTCTAAGATCTTCCTCTGAAAGTATACCATAGGAAAATCTTTTAAGAAGATAATAATTTCTCATTATTTTCAGGTTAGACAATGTTTTGGGAAATAACTTTTGATATTTAAAGCATACATTTTTATTTTAGAACAATTAAAAAAATCGTGAAGAAGAATAAAATTAAAACCTGTGGATCATAGTTTATATGTAACCACTTTAACTCCTTAGACTATGTCTTTCAAAATTTTTTCTATATTTTAATGTATCCCAAACTTTTTTAGTTTGTCATTTATTTGCTGTATTTACAAACATGTTGATCAATGTTTATCTATGATATTTTAAGTGTTGAAATTCTCTTGTATGGACATATGCCATATTTTTTTTAAATCAGTTCCTTTATTATTGAACATAACATTTCTTATTTTCAAATGTTTACATGAATTTTTAGGTTGGTCTTCCTGCAAAATCTGGAGTTGCTGGGGGCATTCTTTTAGTTGTCCCCAATGTCATGGGCATGATGTGCTGGTCTCCTCCTCTGGACAAGATGGGCAACAGTGTTAAAGGAATTCACTTCTGTCATGTAAGCATTCTTAATGAAAATAATGACCATACAAGTTAAGCTACCCAGTGATTTTATTTTTTACCTATTTTCCATAGTTTTCACTTTTGGTATTCTGCCTGCCTATGTGACAGTTGCTGGGTCGCCATGGAAATACTCACGGAGGAGCTTCAAGTTGCACTACTAGACAGCTCCTTTTTAATTATTCTCACAAAAAAATTACAGTTGATTGATGCTTATGTTTTAATTTTCTTGGTTATAATTGTTTTTCCAAAACTCAGAAAATATACAGAGAAGTAGTTTAAAACCAAAGATTTTAATTAAAATTTATTGTATCATTAATACACATAGTTGACTTACTTATTACCTACCTTTTTTTTTTTTTTAAGAAATAAGCACTGCAAATTAAAATTAAGATAAATTTTTAAAAGTTGTACTACTTTTGATTAGTTCAATATTTTATTGTCACCTAATTCTCATTATTATTTCATGTTATTATTTTACTTACATATATTACTTTCTAGAGTCCATGTTAAGTACAATAATTTTTGTTTTTTATTTGCAGATTTTTTTCTCAATTAAAATTCTGGTTTGTTTTTTAGTCTTTTATATTTTACATGACCTAGAGAATGACCTTGGGTTATATATAAAATGAATTATAATAAATTATAACCAGAATTCTGACATATTTTTATGGTACTTTACAGTTATTTGAAGAATGTTTTCATGTGGCCTCTTATATAAACCCTGTTTTATACAAGATGAAAGTTAGACAATTTGAGTGATTGAGTACTAGGGTCATGCTATAGTAAGAGTGTTCTCAGGACTTGTATCTTTATTCTGATTTCATTTCTCTTCCATAAACAAACAATAGCATGCATTGTTTGTTTGTTTATGGTATGGGGAGTAAACCAGAGGGCCTCTACCATTGAGCTGTATCCCAATGCTTTTTTTTTTTTTTAGAGGTAAGATCTCTCCAATGTTGGCCTGGAACTTGGGATTCTCCTTTCTTAGCCTCCCTACTTGCTGGGATTACAGGCGTGTGCCGCCTATGCTACCCAGCTGCAGTGGTGGTTTCTATAAGATCGTAGTTAAGCCAGACAGTATATGTACGGTTTGTTAAAATGTGAATAAACATAGCTAGTGAACAACCAATTTCTTTTTTTTAAAATTCTTTTTACTTACACATGACAATAGAATCTATTTTGATGTAAACATGGAGTATATCTTATTCTAATTAGGATCCCAGTCTTGTGGATGTACACAATGTTGAGATTCACTGTGTTGTAGTCATATATCAACATAGTTATGTCATATTCATTACTTATACCTATTCTGTATAACTCTTTACAGGATCTTGTTTCTCTGTGTAATTTCCATAACTATGACAATTTGAGACACTTTGCAAAAAAACTTGATCCTCGAAGAGAAGGTGGAGATCAGAGGGTAAGCCAAAGTCTTGCTTAGATCATTCTATAATATTCTTTTAAGAGAGAGAAATTGAGATTCGCCTGTTTAAAACTTAAGTTTGTTAGTAGTCTCATGTTTTTCCCAATCACAAATGAATGCAAACAAATTGCTGATGTTTTTATCTTGGATCACTAGTACATAGATATTAAATATTGCTTTCACTATTTAAATTGGAATTCATTAGCCTAAGAGTTGGCTTGTTTTCTGCTATTTTAAGAGTTTTAGAATTGATTCTGTTTTAAAAAAATATTGGAAGAAATGCTACATGCTATTAATCTAAAAAGAAAGTCTTTTTTACTCTTAATATTTGTCCTAGTTCTGTATTTCAGTTCCTTACCTACTTTGTGGATAAATATGTAAATGAAAAGGTATTAACGATATTAGTGGGAGACCTTTCGAAGCCTCTTAAGTTTTATAAGCCACTGTAGATGAAATATTTTTTTCTACAATGAGTGTTTGATGGAATATCCTCATGCCCTTAAAGTCCTGTTTATTATTGCAGTGTTTGGCTTCGTATTATCCATTTCTATTTTAGAGCTGGTATTAGAATCAGGACTTAAACTTTTTTAATCTATATGTAGTTTTTACTGGGCCAAAGGACTTATATTGAGAATTTTAATTCAGTACCTTTGCATCCAATATGAAAAATTTTTATAGTAAAATTACCTATTAGACTGTGAAGCTCTTGTAAACAATTTTAGTATACACCAAATAAATTTTGTTAGTGCCACATTAAATTTTTGTTAGTTGCAATCAAAGTAACTTCTTATAATATTTGAGTATTTTGCCAAGTTAACAGAGTAGAAACTTTATTGGGAGTCGACATGAGTAACATGAAGTAAAAATGTCAGATGGTGGTGGGTGAAAATGTTAACAGATTTTAATAACGTTCATTGAAAAATACCATTTTATAGCTTGGACCTTTCTTCACTCAAGTACACTAATAAATTATGTATGTTGCTTGAACAACTAGCATTCCTTTGGACCATTGGACTATGAAAGTCTCCAACAAGAACTTGCTTTAAAAGAGACAGTGTGGAAAAAAGTGTCACCTGAGTCAAATGAGGACATCTCTACAACTGTAGTATATAGAATGGAAAGTCTGGGAGAGAAAAGCTAAAGAAATGGGTTCTAGTTTCAGAATGTTTCTTCATTTAACCTTTCAAACATCTTTAGCTTTTTTGCAAACTATAAATATTTATTTGAATTTTTTGTGCTCTCAACCTTAGGTGCTGGAGCCATAAGCTTTTTAATTTTTTTTTTTTTTGCTTATAATCTTTGTAAAAAGATAATAGTTAAAAAGTGGATTTGTTGGTCTTTAAAAAGTAAATAAAGCAAATTTGCTTTATTTTTTAAAAATACAAAAAAGAAATTAAAAAAAAATCTGGATTTAATTAAAAATTTTGCCTGTATAGCCAGATAATCCTACTAAGGTGTCATTTCTCAGTTCTAAAATCTACAAATTGAATTGATAAATTATTGCATTTAGTTTTTTATTTTCTATTTTTAAAACTGACATGATGTTGATAGTAGCAATGGAAAGTACTTCTATGCTAAATACGAAACTAAAAATTCAAAGTAACGAATTCCAAATTACTTTATTTATAATAGCAGTAGATTATAATATTATTTTAAGTTTACATGAATGCCATTTTTAGCTATAGATTGGTGTTAAATTTTTAAAAATTCGTCAAAACTTTGGCAAACACTTTAAAATATATCTCATTACTTTGTTACTGTGCAACTCCTGAGTTCTGTTCTGAGAACTATCTTGTACAGGAGTGTCTTTACATATTGAACCTTTCCAGCCAAAGAATTTCATTGTTAAAAAGCTATAATGGTTACTCAGAAGGAGAGATAGTGTGTGTCTTCAATATGAATTTTATTTTCATATTACCCACATAACTTTTTCTGTTATAATTACATATGAATGGCAGATTTTGATTTTAGCTTTTAATAATTTTATTATTCTAATAATTTCATAAGTGTTAATGAATATTTCTTTTGTGATAAATTATAACATCTTATAAAGTTTGTTTTATTTGAATTCTCTTGGAGTACTTAGGAATTGAATTTAGTCTAAAGGTAGTAAGTATGCTACTAAAATATCTGTTTAGATCTGAATCTTTTTGTTCAGTTATAAAAATGCAATATTGAGAATCAAAACTTGTTTTTAAGAGAAGAATTAGGTTCTTTGTAACCTGATTTCAAATAATTATGCACAGTATTTTAAAGTCTGTCTTGGCAAAGTGTAAAATTCTGTAAGGCCTATTCACACTTCCTCCTTCTTCCATATACCTCTGTGGTTTTCCCCATAGTTTCAAGTTTGGTTTTTTGAAATTTATGTCTAAACCAGTAAATTTGGAGGGAGAGGTTTGAGAAGGAAACCTTTATGGCTTCTTAGAATGATGGCATTTATGTGATATGGCAAAGTCTGTAAAAGTATTATAGTATAGCAAAAGAGATTTTACTGAGTAATTTAGATATCTTATACAATTTAAGAAATCTTGGTCATATGATGTCTTGAGTTTGAGAACTATATTATTAGGGGAAGAAGTTTCCTCCCAGAGGTGCTGGTCAAAAGCCTTTTGGGCTTAGGTGTTAAATTTAAGTATTTAAGTAATTATATATGAAATTTTACAGAGTTTTACTAAGAATTTTACGGTTACTTGAATGTTCCTGTGATATTCAGATATTTATACTAACTGGATGCTTCTCAAGGCCTTGCCACTGCCGAACCTATGGACAGTGTCACATTTGTGTTAGTTCTACCATGGCTATTTGTGATTCAGGTAACTGAATGTCTTAATTGGCATGAAGGCTTTATTTTTTTTTTCCCCTTCTCTGATCTAAATTATTACATTTTCCCATTTTGCTCATAGGTTGGTTTTACTTTATAAAATTAAAGTTGTTTTCATATTGTGTACATATTTGTATACATTTCAAAATTAGGTTGTTAATTTGTGGCACTTTATATAATGTTGGTAAGGCCTAACTGCACACTTAAAAATGAAGTAGGGTTATCCAAGCTACTCTGTTTAGAGACTTTTTAAGAACAAGCATCCAGAAATTTTTATAGGAGGTATGAGTGGAAGAAGAAGTAAGATGCTGTGAATAGGCCCACAAACTTTTAAAAAGAAAAGCTTTGCCAGTGTAAGTACATATTTTGATTCTTTCAGTATTCTTAATATCTTTTCAAATAAAGTTCTTGAAAAGTACCCAGTATTGTTGGGTTTAATGTTTTGTGCCATTATTGATTCTTGATATTCAAGCATTTACAAGATAGCATATTTGTTTTTCTTTTTTTCCTCCTTTTTGTTGGCATCATTAACATTTCATTTGAAATGCATATTCTTCTTGATATATTTGGTTTTTAGCATAAATGTTGTGCATTTTATCTTAGTGTTTGGATTAAAACATTTGTGTTGTTTAGCTTTCTTTCATTTGCTTTGTATATTTAATAATGTACCTTTATTTTCCGGTATGCCTACTTTTTGTATTGTACAATAAATTTATTTTAAGCTGATTTTATTGTTTTTTTTTTTTTTAATATATAAAAGCAACTATAACATTTTTAAGTACAACAAATGGGATTTTAACTTAGGGAAAAATTATCCTTATGAAGATACTATTTGAAATGTTTATTTTCCTGAGACTGCCTCAAAGTGAAACTAGAAATACTTAAAGGGCTTTATTTGATTTAATTTTTTTTTAATACAGTATAGTGTTGGTGGGCTTTTAGGGGAAGAGGATGTTTCCTATTGGTTGTACTAGAATTATTTGAATTAGGACCTTTCTCATAGTCCCCTGCCCTCCTTGATTTAAAAAAAAAAAAAAAAAAAAAAGCCCTATTTGCAGAATTTTCCTGCTCTCTGAGGAAGAATGTGGTTGGTGTTATTCAATATGTAACTTTCATTTTATCTGTTGTGTCTAAAGAGTAGGAAAAATTGCTAACTGAAATGACGAGTATCATAGTGTTGTATTACAATAAAACTATTTTTCTTAGTTGACTTAATAATATTTTGAGTAGAATGACTATAATATAGAAATTCACCTCGGCTTCTTTCTTAAGGGATTTAATTTTCAGAAGAAATATTTGTATGTTTCCATAACATAATCCAAGTTATAGACTGCATATATTGTAGGTCATGTACTTTTAACATTTCTCTATTTGACTAAAACTGCCATACAACTAAAGATTTCCCAAGCATATTGTATAAATTTTAAAACTTGCTTGCTTAATTTGCATTAATATGTGGGATTTTTTTTCCAAATATTTCTTTTTGGACTAATTACTAAGGAATTTCAGTATGCTATGTTCAACATATATAACCGTATATGATTAACTTGTTTCTAAAGGTAAATTTTCTTTAATTCATTTGAAGCGAAGGCAAAAGAAATTCAAAATGCTTGTGGTCTTTATCTGACAGTGTAGAATTTCATAGGTATATATGTATGTGGAAAGAGCTGTTAACATGTTGATAATTTATATATAATGTGTGTATATGTTGTATATGTATGTGTTTGTATATTTATTTCATCTCCCTGTTTAAATCTATTTATATTCTGAAGGTGACCAATAGTTCTTTCCATATAGTATATTATGTATAAATGGTTCATTGATCTGTATTCCTTTTGCGGTGGCACACGCCTCTAATCCCAGCATATTGGCAGGCGGAGGCAGGAGGATCACAAGTTCAAGGCCAGCCTCAGCAACTTAACCAGGCCTTAAGCAACTTAGCGAGTCCCTGTCTGAAAATAAAATATAAAAAAAGGGCTGGGAATGTAGCGCAGTGGTAAGTGCTCCTGGATTCAATCCCTGGTACCAAAAACAAAAAAATAAAATAAAATTTTTGCTGCCCATAAATTTATAAAGTATAACATATTCTACTTATTAAACTTGGCTTTGTGGTTTCTGTTGTTACTCTTCCCGTTCACTACCAGTACTGTCAGGGTAAAAGAGTAACTAACAATAT